AGACGGCTGTGCCGTCAGCCCATTTTTCTGTGCTTCCATCTCCTCCGGGATCATGGCCACCCTAAGTCTTGGCTGTCCGACAGCTCTGTCCTGAATTTTCATTTCGCAGCTCCGTGCCACCGCTGACCGCTCTGCCCAGCTTTGCTGCCTCTGCCTGTTGTGCTGCTTTGGAATATGTCAAGGTCCCTGGGAGGAGTGGGGTGGGAGGCTGGGCTCCTGCACCTCGGTGCATGTTCGCCCTCTCTAGGTCCTGGCCTGAGGGCCCCTGTGAGTCAGTAACTCTCACCTTCAGAGGAGTTAGTTTTTTTTAAATTCTGCTTTTCTAATTATTCTCAGTGGGAAGATTGATCTGATGATTGATCCATCATAGCTGGAAATGGAAGTCCTTCCATATAGGTGGTTGTGATTTTTAAATTGTTAAAAACACATTGTAATGTCATACAGTAAAGATAGGCGGTGGAGATGTTCCAAATTAAAGGAGGCTAAAGATAAAACCAAAGGCCATACCTGATCCTAGACTGGTCGTTGTATTGGGAAGGAAGATTGGCAGAGATGACACAATGGAGAAGGGAACGTCCCAGGTCTCCTCTCGTCCCTGGTCCCTGTGGAGCCTGTCACCATCCAAATCTAACAGGAAGCAAAAAGCCAGGAAGCCCGGGTGCTGTGGATGATGACTTTAGCTTCTGGGGAGCACAGAGCAGGGTGGAGAATGGATCTAAAGGGCACGTGGAGATGGTCCAGCGTATAGTGGCCTGGGAGAGAAGAAGAGAGACTTAGAGGGGCTTATGGACAGAGGAGGGGAAGGTAGCCAAGATGGAGAAAGTAGAGACATACGTTATTTGGGTATATCACTCCTGACACCCAGTCGTTAACTTCGTATTTGTAGGCCAATAAATGAAAACATTTCCTGACTCTCTGGTTTGAAAAGTACGTTAGCAAAACTCACTTGATTGACTTCAGCAAGACTGATCTTAGTTTAAAAAAAAAAAAAAAAAAAAGGACTGATCTTAGTATTTTGTGATGGTATTTATTTTCAAGTGTTCAGTGAATGTAGTTGATAAGTCCATCAGGGAGGTGTTCACTCTCTGCCTGGCATCTGTCAAGCACAGCTAGGTGATGTAGGGGTATGCAAAGGACAAAATCTGACCCTTTTCCTTGGTAATTGACAGGTAGACTAAGGAGCTCCAACCCTCAGATGTTGAAGTTAGTGATACAAGGTGCTGCCAAGTCCATTGGCAATGCCAGTATAGAACAAATTCCTGTTAGTCACACATTTTCTTCATCTTATAAAAGATAACTCAAATGGCCTTTAAGTTAGAAGATGAAGAGTGGTTTGGGGAGCAGATTTTTAGCAGTGCAGGAAAAAAAATGCTATTTCCGTGTTCTGGTTCCAACTCTTTCCCCTCACCCACCCCCTTTGAATTGTTTTAAAAAAATTGACAAAGTGTTGTTTGGCTGGCTTATAGTGGGTAGAAGGATTTGAAATGCACTTAAGCTCTTTAACTGAAGCCCCCACCCCTTTTTAATGAACGCTGAAATAGTCTCATTTTTTCATTTTTTCACTTTTTGAACTTAAATTGTTGACAGGCTGATTAAGTGAAAACGAGGTCTTTAGGGTGGTGAACCTGATCCCGAATGACTGGTGTCCTTATAAAAGGGTACATTTGGACACAGAGACAGACGTGCACGGGGAAGCTGATGTGAAGAGACTGGGAGAAGGCCCAGAGACAGGGAGGCGGTTGGGAATTCTGTAAGATCGAGGCTGCTGAAAGGTGGAGGAGCCAGGGAAGGATCCTTGCCCCCAGGTTTCAGAGAGAGCCTGAGCCTGCTGACACTCTGGTCTCAGGCCTGTAGCCTCCAGAACTAGGGGAGATGTTTCTGTTGTCATAAGCTGTCCACTTTATGGTGCTTTGTTACATACCTTCCAAATCTCAATTCACAGTAAAGATGGGGTCTGTTAGCAGCGAACTGTAAAATCTTTTCTGAACCTATTAGTGATATGAAGGGAGAAGTTAAGAGCTATTAAAACCCCTTTATTTTGGATTTGAGACTTTAAGCTGTTTTGGTCAAAACCAATCCTTTCATATTAACACAAAACAACTGATAGTTTATTATGCTTGTTATAAGCATGCCAGGTGGTAAAGAAAGGGTAGGAGACATTGATCCCTTTCGTATGGTTTACATTTCTTTGCTCAGTGTTTTGGAAATGCTGCTTTTCCTTTGTAGCTCTGTCTCCTCTCGGTAATAGTTCTCTATGCCCTTCCGGTGAATAAGTTAAGCATTAAGAGATACAGCCATTCTCGTGTTCTTAAAACTTTCAAAAAAGGATTGTGAATTTCAGAAGCCATATCAATATGGAAGTGGCCTGTGATGCAGATGGTTTCTATATATTGGGAGTCTGTCTTGGCCACCCTTTCATTCAGTTAACAGTTAAATGGAGATTGCTCCTTCATTGTGAGTGCTAACGATGAGCAGTTCGAAGACAGTTTGGGCTGAGTGGCAGCTTCTTCCCTTTTCTGGTGTGGAGGGTGGGTAAGATAACGTCTTGACTGTGCAGAATGTGTCACTCACTGTCCATATTCTTTCTGCCCCTGGTGTTTTAAAAAAAAAAAAATCACAGAAGCGGTATATTCTCATTAGGAGACATAGAACCAAAGTGGCTGTGTATTTTTTTCTACTCAAGGATTAGCAGAAGGAATGGGTAGAGAAGTGAAATTCATTTGTGTGGCAAATATTTGTTAAATTCCATGCACCATTGTAGGGATTTGGGGTGTATCAGAAAACGAACCCTGAAAATGCCTGCCTTGTGGGGTTTGTTCAGGGTGGCAGGCACTGCTGGGGGCCAGGCTGAGAAAGCAAGGGTTTGCCCGTCTTGTTGGAAGGTGGCGGCAGTGCTCCCAGCTGGCCACAAGGCGGCGGCCTCGTGCAGCAGAAAGGCACCTGCCGCCTCCGGGTGTTGGGGGTGGGCAGGTGTGGCACCCAGGATGCTGACTTTGAATTCTCTGGGGTGCCTGGGGGAGAGTGGGACGTCTGACGCTGTCCCCTCATTATAGTAGCCTATGGAAGGTCATGTATGGCTACCCAGAGCAATTATGAAGTTGCCCTAATGAAAATCTTTTGGGTGGCCAGTATTAATTCCCACATATTTTTATACACAGTAAGGCTTGTAGAGATGGAATTTTATATCTTCTTTGCCACGTTTGAGTGACATACAGCTTTAATGATACACAAAAATTGAAAAGTAAACCGCAAAGAAAAAGTTTGCAGCACTAGTAATTTTATTGTAGTTCCTTTTTTCATTTTGTTTTTTGGTGACCATATGCACGTCATAGTTCATTCATAATTATAACTACGTAAGTTTTCATTTAACATTGTGACGCAGGGCAGCTGTGTAGCTTTTAAAGCATAGCCCTTGACTGATAGTTGATTTCTTGGGCAGCCAGCATTTGGAGGGCAGAGTAGAATTCCGGGGAGAGTCCCACAGTGTGATTGTAGAAGGGAAGATTTGAGGCAGAAGAGATAGTCCCACTTTACTTCACGTGGTTTCTGAGAAATGCATTTTAAGAGAAGTTCTGCCAGCTGGTTTCATAATCTGTAACTGAATATTTAGCATTAGGTGCTCATCTTCCCTCTAGGGCAAAGGTTCCCTGGGAAATGCAGACTCCCTTCATTTCTCCACAGCTCTGGGTTTGCCCCTGCTGGTCTTGGCAGCCCCCCCCCCCCCCCCCCCCGCCTTCTCCGAGTCTGGCCATGAAGCCGCCCGCCTCCTCTTGTCTGCACCTCACTGGACGGAGCGCTGTCAGCCATCTCCCCTCTCAGGTGGGGGGAGGTGCCAGTTTTCAGGCTGCTGCCTCCCACTGCCTTCTGTTTTTTCCGCCCCCACGTTCCTGAGGCTGGGCTCCCTCATTGGTGTTCACTGGTTTTGTGTTGATTTCATTTTGTTAATGACCAGAGACCAGGCTGTTGTCCTGAAACGCTTTCTCAAAGTCTCTTCCCGGACCAGTGGCATCTGCCTCACCTGGGAACTTGCTGGAAGTGCAGATGCTCTGGCCCACGTCAGGCCTGCTGAATCAGAAACACTGACGATGATTGGGGTGGGGGGGAGGGGGCAGCAGCCTGTGTTTGAACAAGCCCTGTAGAGGATTCTGGTGGACACTAGCATTTGGGAATCACTGTCCACAAGCATTGCTACTTTCATCAGAGAAGGTACGCCATTAACTCTGAGTACTGTATTCCACCTCGAATCTCAGTATATACGGTAGCATAAAAATTGATGATTTCTTAGTGCCTGAAGTCAAGACGCTTAAAATTTTAAGTTCTATATTTCTTTGCTTTTTAAATGTCAGTATTTCTGCATCATAATATCGTTCATTTAAAGTTGATAAAACTTTTGATTTCAGACATTAAGGTGGATGTCTTGGGGATTTTTGTTGGCGATTTGAATCACCATCTAAATGAATCTGGTGGAGAGGAAGAAAGCCATAGTTCCCTGCTTTCACTGGGCCTTTTCCTGTCTGCTCACCATTGCTGCCAGCCCTCCACTGACTGCCACTGCAGTTCTTCCTCCTGAGTCAGTCTGCCAGTTGGTGAGACGAGCGCTGTGAATCAGCCCCGGCTGGCGCCGTCTCCTCGCTGAGCTGCCTCCCGCTTTTGATGGAGCAGATACAAGTCTGCCACGAGACAGTCGGGCTTCTCAGCCCTGCTTTCAATCTCTTACATAACCCACTTCCTTAAAACCTTGAGTACAAGTCTGGCAGTAAGATGAGGTCTTAACAACATAAGACTGAAAACAACAACAACAAAAGTACTTTCTGGTATGGGCTAAAAACTGATAGAAACCTGAAAAGCAGAACTTTCAAATGTTGGCCACTGAAGGACTGGTTCTGTGACTAATCCCACCTGAGCAGCCAGTGGCCCGTTTTCCTAAGATGTTAGGCACATTGGATTCTTAGAGGAGATTCGTGACTTGAAACATTGAGTTATTGTCTCTCTTCTTCTAGAACTGGAAAGGAAAGAGCAAGAATTAGAGCAACTGAGAATGGATTGTGAGCACTTCAAAGCCCGCCTAGAGACCATGCAGGCTGACTGCATGAGAGAGAAGAAGGTACGATGCTCTCACAGACCGAGCTTGCAGAGTGGTGTGGCTGGTGGCCGTTCTAGCCCGTAAGCCTCAAGACAGTGTATTTTAAAATATATGGAATTCTGGGGGCGCCTAGGTGGCTCAGTCAGTTAAATGTCGGACTCTTGATTTTGGTCATGATCTCAGGGTCGTGGGATCGAGCCCCGCATTGGGCTCAGCGCTTAGTGTGGAGTCTGCTTGAGATTCTCTCTCTCTCTCTTCTGCCCCTCCCCCTCCCTGTGCTCTTGCATATGTGTACGCACTTTCTAAAATAAATGAATCTTAAAAAATAACAAAATGTATGCAATTCTGAATGGGTTGGAGAATAGTCGAACATTGGGATTTTATAACCATTTAATGTGGAAAATATTTACTGGGTGCCTTGTGATTGTCACTTCCTGTTAACTTTACTTTTATTACTTTTTTTTTTTTTAAGATTTATTTATTAGAGAGCGTGTGTGTGGGCACTTGAGCGCAGGGGTGGGGGTACAGAGGGAGAGAGAGAAAGAGAGAAGTAGACTCTCCACTGAGCGTGGAGCCAGATGCGGGGCTCTATCTCAGGGCCCCCAGGATCATGACCTGAGCTGAAATTAAGAGTCAGACACTCAACCAACTGAGCTACCCAGGCACCCCTAATTTTTATGTTCAATAGACCACTTCAGGGGCGGCTGGGTGGCTCAGTTAAGCGTCTGCCTTCAGCTCATGTCATGAGTCCTGGGATAGAGCCCTGCATCAGGCTCCCTGCTCAGCGGAGAGCCTGGTTCTCCCTCTGCCCCTCACCCTGCTCATGCTCTCTCTCACTCTCTATCAAATAAATAAATAAAATCTTAAAAAAAAACCAAACACTTCAGAATATTAGAAGTCACAGTATGATAAGAATCTTGAAAAAAGTGCACATAAAAATTTATAATCAGAGACGTATTAACTACAAATATTTGTAATTAACTTAGGGGATCGTTTATTGATATTTTAGAAATAACCAATATGTTTTATTATTTGCTGAGACTAATAGTATTTCTTTCAAATTACAGATTCTTGCTTTTTGTATGGAATACATTATTTCCTCTTTTCTTCTGTAAAACTAAACTATCCTGCCACTTGTGATGAAATTCGGAGCGTGTGTGTTTTTATTTTTAAATAGTAAAACAAGAACAGTACTAGTAACAGCAGCTAGTATATGTTGTTTCCTGTGCAAGTTCAGCTGTGCCCTCTGACAGGCGCTTCAGCTGCTGACCTTGGCCTTTGTCTTCTCCATGTGTTTTCAGAGTTAACTCCGCACCATTCACAGTCAGCTGACTCACTTGCAGGGGACTGCCCATGTTTGCTTCTCTCTGTATTTGATGTGTTAGGAAAGAGTTGCTACTTTTGTGATAATAAAAGGGAAGTTGTTGCAACCATTGTATACATATTATTTCAGGAAACTTTTTAAAGAAAAATGAACTGGTAGTATATTTCAGTTAAAATCCGAGATGAACTACAGAGGGTTTTGAAGGAATCCTGAAAGTCTGGTGCTTGATACTCCATCAGGTACGAGTATTCACTTTAAATACGTAAATATGTCAGAACTCAACTATTGTTTCTTTTTTAAAAGCAGCTCTATTGAGATATATTTTACCTAACAGAGTAATCTGTTGTAAAAGTGAAGTTTGGTCATTTTTAGGAACTATATGCAGTTATACCACTTTCACCACAGTCCGTTTTGCTTTCGGTTAAAAGTTTTCAGAAAGAATTACGGATGCACAGGAAGGTACAGAAAAATCCAGGGAAGTCCCCGGTGCCCTGTATCCGGTTTGCTCTGTGGTAGTCTCTGGCCTCACTGCAGCGCACGGCGAGAGCTGGGAGACCAGCACCTGGACGACCCACGCGGTGTGTTTGTTTGTCCCCGGTGTTGCACGCACTCGTGTGTGTGTGTGTGTGTGTGTGTGTGTGTGTGTGTGTGTGTGACTAGTTCTGTGCAGCTTTTTAAAAAAGGTTTTATTTATTTGATAGAGAGAGCATGCCGGGGGAGGAGCAGAGGGAGAGGGACGAGCAGACTCCCTGCTGAGTGTGGAGCCCGATGCGGGGCCAGTCCCATGACCCAGAGATCAGGACCTGAGCTTCAAGAGTTGGACAGTGAACCGACTGATGCCTCCCGGCACCCCGGTTCTGTGCAATTTTATCACACGTATAGATTCATGTAACCACCACTACATTCAACATACTGAACTCTCTCATCAGCATAGAGATCCTTTCATACTCCCGTGCTACAGCCACACCTGCCCTGTTCCCTACGCTTACCTCTTGGCAACCACCAACACATAGTTGCCACACATTAATCTCTATAATTTTATTTCAAGAATGTCATGAAAATGACTTTTTTCACTCAAATTCATTCAAATTCTTGCTTGAATCAGTAGTCTGTTCCTTTTTATTGCTGTATAGTATTCTGTAGTATGGAAGTATCACAGTTATTTAACTTATCTACCATAGAAGGACGTTTGGGCTGTTTCCAGTTTTTCACTATTATGAACAGAGGTACAATGGACATCCGTGTATAGATTTTTGTGTGATTGTATGTTTTCATTTCTTTTGGTAAATGCCCAAGAGTGCAGTCACTGGGTTGTATGCTAATGCATGTTCAGTTTTTTGTTTTTTTTAAAGGTTGATTTATTTTAGAAAGAGAGGGGAGGGGTAATGAGTGGGGGGAGGGGCAGAGGGAGAGAGAGAGAATCTCCAGCAGACTCCCTGCTGAGTGAGGAGCCCGACAGGGGGCTAGATCCCATGACCCTGAGATCATGAACTGAGTCAAAACTAAGAGTTAGTGGCCCGACCGACCAAGCCACCCAGGTGCCCCTGCATGTTTGGTTTTGTAAGAAATTGCCAAGTTTTGCGGAGTGGCTGCCCCATTTTACATTCCCTCCAGCAATCTATGAGTGATTCATTTCTTCTACATCCTACCTGGCATCTGGTGTTATCACTGGTTTTATTTCAGCCGTTCTAGCAGATGTGAGGTGGCCTGACTTTGCATTTCTCTCCTGGCCAGTCATGTTGAGATCTGTTAACATGCTCATTTGTTGTCTGTGTACCCTCTCCTGTGAAAGATCTGCTCATGTTTTTGCCCACTTTCTAATGGGATTTTTTTTTTTCCTGTTGAGAGAGTTCTTGATGTATGCTAGATAGAAGTCCTTTACTGGACACGTGGTTTGCAAAGAGGTTCTGCCAGGCTGGGGCATGTCGCTTCATCTTCTTCATGCGGTCTTTCACAGAGCACAAGTGTTCAGTCTGCTGAGGTCCAGTTTGTTGATTTTTTTCTTCCATGATTGTGTGTTTAGTGCTGTAAGAACTTTCCTCATAACCCTGGGTCCCCAAGATTTTCTTTTTTTTTATATATTTTTATATGTTATATTTAAATTCTTGATCCATTTTGAGTTAAGTTTTGTATAAGGTATGAATTTCAGTTGAGGTTTGTTTTTGGGGGGGCAGTCCAGTTGCTCTTGCGCTTTGTGGGAGAGATGATGTTTACTCTGTGGACCTGCTCTTTGCCTCTGTGAGTGATCAGTTGGGCATATTCGCCTGGTGTGTTCTGGGTTCTTCGCTCTGGCCTGTCGATCTGTTCTGCCAGAGCTCACTGGCGCTGTTACTGTGGTCACGTAGTGAGCCTCAGCATTGGGTAAAGCGATTCTTCCCATCGAATTTTTCTTCCCCCAAATTGTCTAGACAGGCCCTTTACTTTTCCATATACATTTTATAATAAGCTTTTCGGTATCTATAAACATTCATGCTGGGATTTTGCTGGGAATTGTGTCATGCCTGTATGTCAGTTTTGGGAGAACTGCAGTCTTGTCTGTGTCGCGTCTTGCAGTTCATAAACAAAGCATGTCTTTCCACTTCTTTACATTGTCTTTAATCTCCTTTATCAACGGTTCGTAATTTTCAGCACACTGAGCCTATCCACATTTTGTTAGATTTTTTACTTAAGCCTTTCATTTTCTTTTTTTTTGGTTCCACAGAACGTTTTTATTTTTATTCAACTCTAAGCAAGTAGCAGAGTTAATACAGCATTCTGGAACTCCAGACTGGCTTTTCTTCTACCAGTGAAGAGTGATCAGTTTAATAGTGCAGACTTGGGGGTTTCTCACCACCTCTCACCCAGCCCCCAGCTCATTTAGACGACTGCGCAGAACCACAAAGCAACTCTCCCTATTGCTGTTTCCAGTACTGCTCTTTTTTTTTTTTTTAAAGATTCTATTTATTTATTTGACAGAGAGAGCGAGAGCAGGAACACAGGCAGGGGGAGTGGGAGAGGGAGAAGCAGGCTTCCCACTGAGCAGGGAGCCCGATGTGGAACTCGATCCCAGGACCCCGGGATCATGACCTGAGCCGAAGGCAGATGCTTAACGACTGAGCCACCTAGGCGCCCTCCAGTACTGCTCTTTAAAGGAACCAGAGACACTGACCCCCAGGAACCAGTCCCAGACATAACATACTGGGGACTAGTGGTGTGAGAGACACTGTCATGAAGACGTGACCCAGAAGATGCCATTATGCACAGTTCCAGGCTGAGACTCGCCAAGACAGAGGCAATGAATCTGTTTTTTTTAAACCTTTCTTAAAGATTCTTTGATGCTCTGCTCTATTACTGTAGACCTGATCTTTTCACTTGAATTTTTTCTTCTTTAAATTCTGGGTTGCTCTTCTTATGTTGACAATTTTATGACCCCATCCTACTACCAACATGTCCTCCAAAACAGAGTTCAGATTTGATCAGAACATAAAGGGTATGATCCTGTCGAATTACAAAGGATAGGTGGAAGGAAAGGTTCCCGTAAAGCACTATCTGTGAGAATGGGAGGGGGGAAGGGGAGAAATCTACCGGAATCACTGAGCTTGAGAGCACTCCTGGGCGTCTCCAGGATGTTCCCATCTCCTGTCTTGTCTTGTCTTTTTCTTTTTCTTTCTTTCTTTCTTTTTTTTTTTTTAAAGATTTTATTTATTTATTTGACAGA